GCACATTTTGAGGGGAAAAAAAGACATTTAAGTGCGCCTTATAGTCGTGAAAATACGGTACCTTAATAGTGTTTCCCAACCTTTTTTTTTAACTTTAGTACGCCTTTGGGCATTTTGTCTTGCCATGAGTAAACCTCTCAGTCAAAAGTGTTGATGATTATACAAAAGTGGAACCTACAATTTTAATTGTATTATGTAATTCTTTGGCATCTAATGCTTTCCATCCCAAATAAAAAAAACAACAAATATTTTGCCTGAAAGTTGGTAAGGAATTGAAAAAAAAATTCAAAATAAAATCAAATTATAAACTTATATTTATAAAACAGAAACTCCTCTGAGTAACTTTCTTGAAATCATTTAACATATAACAAAAACGTACTTTTATGTATTTGGTCCTCGCAAAGCAAAACAGATCCCTGCCTATTTTATTTTACTAGCACGGAAATTATATTTTTCTGTACCCCTTGCAATGCACGTACAAGTATCCCCGGTTGGGAATTAGTGCCTTAACATAGGGCTGGGCGATAATTCAATAACGATATATATCGATCGATAGACGTGTGGCGCAATAGAAAAAAAGTTTGATAAAAAAAACGCAGTTTTCCTTCCTTCTCATTGTAGCCTATAATGTAGGTTTATTCTAGTCACTACTTCCTCCTAACCAATCGCAATCGCGGACCCAGGCACGCCGTCACAAAGCGCCACCCTCTCAAACCACAACACAGAGCACATGAAGATGTCGCAGCAAGGAGAGGCGGAGGAAATTGTTCCAAAGAAGGGTTTTTGTAGTTCGCCAGTTTGGCAGTATTTCGGTCATGGCAAGTCGGACATAAAAGAAACCACAGTCATCTGTAAAATTTGTAGGAAACCAGTGAAAACGAAGTCTGATAACACAACCAACTTTTGTTTTTTTTATCATCTCAGCCGCTCACACCCGCAGGAGTACGAGCTGTGTTGGCCTCGGTGCGGCTCTCCTCCGAGTAATTTTCGGGAATTTTGGGAAAATATTTATATATATATATATATACCGTATTTTCACGACCATAAGGCGCACCGTACTAAAAGGCGCACTCTCAGTTATGTGTCCCATTTCTGTATTTAACACACACATAAGGCGCACTGGACTATAGGGCGCGTTTTTTATATACAGGTAAATGTCCTCTACTACCTTGAAATACCTCTACTGCGTATTTAAAAATACAGCGGGGGTAAAAC